AACCCTATACAGGATTGTTATGAGTCAAAACTGATTAGACGGCACTTAACAGTAGCAATATACCACACATTACTATTTTTAAATTGAAAGAATCAACTTGCTTTAAAAAAAATTTTAAGAAAAAAAAATTTTCTAATATTTACCCACATCCTTATTATTTCCAGTGATCATTATTAATTGTGTATATTAATTTTTATGTGGTCTCATTTCCTTTCGGCTTGAAATAACTTCTACTAGCATTTGTTGTATGAAGCCCTGGTATAGCACTGTGGGATAAAGCACTAGACCGCAAGGTTGGTTTGAAACACAAAGTCGGCAGTTCAAATTCACCAGCCGGTCCTTGAAAACCCCACACAGGTTTGCTATGAGTCGAAATCAACTCGATGACACTTAACAGCAACAGCATTTGTTGTAGTGCAGCTATACTGGTGAAAGATTTATTTACCATCATTTTTGAAAGATATTTTTGCTAGCTATGGAATTCTGGATGGACAATTATTTTCCCCCAGTACTTCAAATATATAATTTCATTGCCTCTGACTTCAGTTACTTCTATTGAGAAACCAGGATACATTATTTATAGTACTGCTCCTGTGTGGGTGTTTGCTTTCCTGATGCTTTAAATTTTTTCACTATAATGTCCTAAGCGTGGTTGTCTTATACTTTTCTTTCTTAGTGTTGTATAGTTTTCTTAAATCTTTGAGTTGCTGTTTTAAAATCAAATTCAGAAAAAAATCAATTTTTATTTACTGATTTATGGTAAGGAAATAATTGAATATTAGAACATATAACCCTGTTGGATGCACTGACTTGTATCAATTGTTATAATAAATTTCCTAAGAAAATACAAATAATGCACCTATCAATAACAGTACCTATCAATAACAGCAGCTTTTGTCAAATGTTTTTCTTTGTTCCCCTCTGTGCTTGTGTTTGTATAATCTCTATTGGCTATATTCATATTCACTGATTATATCTTCTGTTAAACAAATCCTACAATCATTTTATTTCAAATATTCAATTTCTCAGTTCTATAATTCTATTTGGAAAATTAGAAAAGAGTTTCAGTTTATTTCCAGAAATTATCTAACATTTTCTCATTATAAATCCATTCTTTATTTTAAATCCTTACAATAATTAGCTCTGGTAGTGTAGTGGTTACGAATCAGGCTGCTAACCTCAAGGTCAGAAGTTCGAAACTACCAGCTGTTCCGTGGGAGAAAGATGAGGCTTTCTGCTCCCATAAAGATTTACAGCCTCGGAAACCCTGTACAGGGTCACTATGAGTCGGAACCAACTCCATGGCACATATAACAACAAATAGTTATTTTAAAGTTCCTGTTTGTGTATATTTTGATTTGGGTTTCCTATGGGTTGACTTAAGAGTCCTGATGCGGCAATGTGGGTTAACACGTGGAGTGCAAGATCAGTTTGAATTGCAAGGTCAATGGTTCAAGTTCACCAGCCGCTCTTTGGAAACCCTACACCCTGTAAATCTTTACTGGAGCATAAAGCCTTATGTTTTCCCCATGGAATGGCAGGTAGTTTCGAATTGCTAACCTTGAGGTTAGCAGCCCAGCTCATAATCACTATGCTACCAGAGCTTAAAAAGTACTTCTTTTAAAGAAGTTTGGTATTAATGTGCTCAAATAAGGCACAAAGAGCAAAGGCAGGCAGTGAAAAGCAAACAAGAAACGGGGCACTCTACTGGAATAGAAAACTAGAGAATATTTATTAGCACAAATTAAGTCAATCTATGGTACTCCTAAGGAGCTCTGGTAGCACAGTGGTTACGAATTGGGCTGTGAACCGCAAGGTCAGCAGTTCGAAACTACCAGCTGCTCTGTGGGAGAAAGAGGCTTTCTGCTCCCATAAAGATTTACAGCCTTGGAAACCCTGTTTAGGGTCGCTATGGGTCGGAACCGACTCGGCGGCACTTAACAACAACAACAACAATGGGAACTCCTACAGTTCTTAAAAGCATTTTTCAGGAACTGATTTCCTGTAGCGAGGAAGACTCAGCAGGTTTCAGGTTTTTATAATTGATATGATTTCATTAGTACCTACAAACTGATACCATCCGAAGAAATGAAGCTTACAAACAACATACAATTGTTTATGTGTATATGTTATACAAATAGAAGCCATCCTGTGTATATTTATCAAACTTTTTCTTCTACATAACACTGATGAGCATACTGTGAATTCCTTTACCTGCCTGTAAATAGTGACCCACATATCACTGATATTATCTGCACTTTCAGTCACACTCTCTCACTCCCCACACTTTCTGCACCAGAGTTTAGAAGTGCTGACTTCAGCTATCTTCAGATTTTTATTTGCTACCAGGGTAAATGTTAATGTTAGTTGTTCTTTTCATTTCTGATCTTAATCCACATACTTCACAGTGTTTCACACCTAAAATCACTACAGGTATGAATAGGTATTCAGTTGTAATGAACAGCATCATAAATGAGAAATAATTATCTCCAAGAAAACTAATTTCTTGGAAGCAGCAAATATATTATGGCCTGCATTAAATAATTTTATGAAATGGCCAAAGGTACAACATTTCCATAATAAGAAAGCACTCAGTTATTGTCATTAATGGTATCTCCGATTAATTATTTATAAGGACACCACAGTTCTTCCTCCTCAAAACAAATGACAGTGACTGTTGGACTAATAAAACATGGTGTGCATGGTGTGTAATAAACACTGAGACAATGAGTATGAGGAACTGTGCACATGACAACAATAACTTCAAATATTTGCACAATAATTTTTAATAAAATTAGCAGGTTGCATTACCACAACAAAACAAAAATTTGCATGCATGCTGAATGTGTTTCAGAAAAACACATTACTGAGCACAGATGTATGGATTTAACTCAAGCATTATGATTTAAAAAAAAAAAAAAAAAGCTATTCGCCTAACCTTTATAGAACTTACTCTGATAGGATGTACGGATCCGTTTCGTTAAATCAGGATAAAAGTTAGACAGGCCACGCATGCAAAAGTTGTCTTTGGAACATGCCAGAACACCAGCATCAGCAGCAGGCAGAGGAAAGAGAGAAAAATAGTCTAAAGTGAAAGGAAGTGATATCATACCAGAATCTAGAACAGCCAAGATGAAGAAATTGCGGCAAGTTTTGGTAATCAGTTTAGAGAGAAGATATTAAGAAAATAAATCGATTAGAAAATAAAAGGTGATAGATGAATAATGAGAGTGTTATAGTAATTGTATTTAATCAAATGCCTTATAAAATAGGTTACATAAAAATATGTGCTTTTATGTCTTACGCTTCTTTGGCTTTTAAATAATATGTACAAATCACATCAATAAAAATATCAAAGTGGTTATCCTTATCCTTCAACAATTAAAAAGAAAGTTTAGAGACTTTGCTATTGGTTTCTTTGTTGTTTGTTATCGAGTTGGTTCTGACTCATAGCAAACCTTCACAGGGTTTCCAAGAGAGGTTGGTGGGCTTGAACCATGGACCATGCAGTCTGCAGTCTGGTGCTTACCCTACTGTGCCACACTAGGGTTCTTTAGAGACTTTAGCTTTTACAATTTTATTTTTATAATGCAAAGAGAGTATTCATTGTAGTTCTCCTAAGGACTAAATACAAACTAAGACAGTCACAATGTCAGCGGTTTTTCCTGATTTAAAATTCACAAAATTTTAAGATCTAGTCATAATTGTTAATACTCCAAAAGTTTAAGTTAAATAACAGTTGTCTTGCCTTTGTCAGAATACACACTTAGCCATCCTATTGCATCGTATATCCAGTGAGTAACTCAGACACTATCATAAGATCTGTAACTTTTCTGAATAAATGGTTGCTTACAGCATGCATACCCTGCCTAAAATCCCTAATGTCTTCTTACCCTAGAGTCCATGAATTTAAGTCCACAATTCAAAAGACAACCTTCTCTTTCCCAATCATAAAGCAACCTTGTGGTACATGGCATATAAAAATTATTTTATTCTGCCTTCTTTAAAAAATCAGTAGTGATAGAGGCCAACATTATATAATTTGAAATTTTTAGCACTCTTGAAATATTGCTAAAAGTATGCCTCCCTTGGATAGTTGAAATTCCTAACAATAAAAAAAATAAAGATATACTAGGTTCTGCTGAAGAGTTTTTATGCCACTGAAGAGTCCCACAAAATAATTTGGAGAGGTTTGAAGAAGGCTAACACAAAAAAAGAAAAGAAAAAAGGAAGAGAGAGGAATGAAAATATAACAAGTAAATTTCCATTAGTCTAATAGGGAGCCTCTTTTGCTACCATAGTCAGATACTAAATTTAGTATACCAATTACTGGAAATTCATACATGTACTCCTTTCGTTTAACAATTTCTCTGCATGAGTATATTTAATAAAGTCTTCAATACCCAATTGATCATTTAAAATAAATCAAATGGATACATTTGAAAGAACTGTCTAAATGACATATATAATATCATACATGCATTTCTATCTGCATACCTGTCAGTGAAACTAATTTTTAACCATTAAAATATGTCAGTTGATAGCACACAAAATTTTAGCAGTGTTTACAAACTCAAATATTTGGAAATATACTGAAACTTTAGTAAAACTGTGTATCATTTTGGATAATATATAAAGTCTGCCTTTCTAGTTTTACATCTAAATTAATCAACTTATTGGTCCTGCCAAGAAAAAAATGACATTTTTTCCAAAGCAATATCTCTTTATTTTTTTGTCACTTTTTAGCAACTGAATTCTAGGACACTCGAGATGCTTCCTAACTTTAACAGCAAACTGGAGTTTTAACAGTTGAGTTGACTTTTCAAAGTCTTTTCACTGTTGCTGCCTAACTCATTTTACTTGCACAATATTGCAAATTATGGTGACTTGTAGAATGCCATGCATTTTAAAAGCCATCAGAGAAATGAAAGTCGAGAAAGCTGAAGGTAAGAAAACAGATGAATTAATGAAGTGAATAGTCATTTTGTTTTATCTCCTACCTGCAATGAACTGCTTATTTTTTCGAGGAGAGCGTGGTTGTCGTTGGTATAGGTCACTTGATCTGTATAGGTCAATGGTTCCCATGCTTAACAGTACTGTCTTCTGCATAAAATCCACCACAGCTAGCCCATTGCAGTTCCCAAAGGCAACACTGAGAGAGAGAGAAAATGCTATTAGAATGCAGCACAGCAACTATGATTATCTTTGTTGCTGAATTAAACATAAGAATATTGGACAGTAATGCTTTAGTGTGTGTTGCAGAAGTTGTACAATGGTTATGAATCAGGGAGGATGTCTTGCCATTACATAGAGACCCTGTATGAGGGTAAGCCAACAAGTATTGATATTAGGGTTCCAATTCGTATATGCACAGGTTTATTCTAAACAAAATGTGTTTAAACATGTTGCTGTAATCAGTGGATGGCTTCAGAAAAGTTCTCTCTGCAATACAGTTGTCTTAGTTTTGTTAGGGTACCTTTTAAAAATAAGAATATTTTTTATGCCATGGGGGTGTGGACCCAATTTTGAGTTCAAGGCTAATATCAAATTTTTAACAGAACTCAAGTGGACATCTACCTCTATCATTGAAGCTTTGTGACAAATTTACACATAAAGCAACAATTTTCAGATGGATCAAGTATGCTAAGGGACGTCAGGAAGACCTCAAAGCCAAGAGAAAGAAGCCCACCAACTTCAACGAATGAAGAAATGGGCCAAAATTCAGAAACTGGTAGATGAAGACCATAGGATTTGATAGCATTGATGCAATAGCTACATGATTGAACATTTCCAATTTTAATTGAACATCTTAGCCAAGTTTTGGGGTCAATGGGCTCCAACAGTGTTGCATGAAGATCAACTGGCTTTAAGAGTTGATCTTTTCATCAGTCTTTCAAACAAGATCAAAGTTAATAAAGGTGATTTTATGGAATGAATCACAACTAGGGACAATTCTTAGATTTATCAATATGATCCAGAAAGCAAGGTCCAATCAAAACAGTGGCTTCTGAGTGATCTGCTGGGCCAGTTAAATTCAAGGCATAGAGGTCAGCTCAGAAAATTATGACTATTGTTGTTGGGTCTTTTTTTATGGGAATTCCAAAGAGTATAGTCTTGATGCAGGACAATCATAAGGACTTATATGGAAGAAGTTTTAAGACTATTGAAAACTGAATTTGTGAGAAAAGAGACCAGGAAAGTTGTACTGAGGAATTTATTTCCATCACAACAATGCACCTTCTCATTCTTTGAAGGTACCAAGGACTGTCCTATGAAAATTTCACTGGGAAACCTTATCTCACCATTCTACTGCCTTGATCTTGCCCCTTCAGACCTTTTTGTTTTCAAAAGTCAAAGAACATTTTTAAAGAACATGATCTGAGTCCTTTGAAGATATCAAAACTGCCACTTTGACAGGTGTAAACTGAGGAGTAAAGAATTCTTTGGGGAAGGGGTAGAGAGAGGGAAACATCACATTAGGAAGTGTATGATCTAGATGGGCGATATATCCAGAAAGAATACCTTCATATTTTGGTATTTTCGCTTAGTGAAAGTTTCTATGATTTTATATCAATACTATTTAACTTACCCTCATATAAAATCATGAGTAGCCATATAAAAAGGGATAACCTGTAATCACATTTTATCAGCAATTGTATCAGTAAGTAATGATTATCCAATCTGCTCTTGTACGTAGTTGAACTTTTTTGAAACTTTTTATTCTGAATTGAGTGAAAGTTTACAGAGCAGGTTATCAGTTTTACATTCAACAAATGAGACTTCGTTTCATCTCAATGACTGTGATCCCCTCCATGTAACAGTAGTTATCCCACTGCCTCACTGTGGTTCTTACTTCCATTCCACCATCTTTCCCAACCCTTTTGAACTTTGTCCTGGTAAATGCTGCCCTTTTGATCTTGAATGTTTGACTAAACTTTACTTGTGATGTTGTCCCTCATACATACTTATCTACTGTTTGGCTGAAATTGGGCCACAAAGGTGAGTAATGTATTTTATTATTTTTTTTTTACAGATGAATCACACAAAACCTTTTTGCTATACAAGGATAAGACAGGTCAGAGAATGTCACTTTAATAGATAAAAATGCTTAGGTGTGCCAGTAAATGCCTTTTAAAAATTGTAATTATTAGACTCCAAATTAATTATAAATCTTCTTCAAACACAGGGTATGTATTTAACACAAAATTATCTTCAGAGTTCAAACCCACCATCTGTTCCAAGGAAACCCTGATTATTAAATAATAAACCAGGGTTATTAAAGAGCCAGAACCAACTTGATGGCACTTAATTTATGCCTTAACTAATCTAAGTTTTAACACCATAATAGATGTAAGCATAGACGCAACTTTCCTTTAACGAAAATTATTTTTCTTTGATTTGTCCTATTTATTAAAAGACAAAGACTTTTGATTAATATCTTAACTAAGTAAACTGAGAAATTCAAATAGATAGTCTTCCTATGCAGACTATCTATTTTGGTTCCCTTACCCATTTTTTTCTCCATTTAAGATATATTAGCTAGCTAGACAGTTGTAAGTATATGCTTTATGCTTCCTAACATAAACATTGTTTCTTCTTTTTTTTTTTTTGAAACTTTTTATTGTGAACTGAGTGAAGGTTTACAGAGTAGATCATCAGTGTTACAATCAGTAAATCAGAGAAATCACTCTTATCTAAGTTGCACCTTAGATAACCATTCATGAGCTTTTAAGATCCCAGTTGCTACTCACCAAAGTAGAATACAGAACATAGTCTTTGTGGACTATGTTATGCCGATTGACCATCGTGTCCACTGAGATTATGGCCCTGAGCCCCCAGGCCCAGAAACTTGTTGCTCAATATGTTTGGTAATGTCTAAGTTTTAGTCATTTTCCCCCTTTATGCTCCATCATATTCATAGGTGTGTTTGTACAAATATCCTCTATCAAACCATTATATATTTGTAAGTATACTCCTACTCTCCCTCCCATACCCATTCAATCTGTGTATCTGTCCATATATCTACCATAAAACATTGTTGTTTCATGGTTGTGTATATAATAGTATGTACCTCTACCGTCTTTAACCCTTGCATTCCTCCCTGTGTCTTCAAATGTTTTCCATTATCCTCTTGCCAACCTCCCTCTTTTTTTATATTGCCCTACCTATCCCTTAAGGTCAGCAGTTTGAAACTACCAGTGGAGAAAGATGAGGCATTCTGCTCCCGTAAAGATTTACAGCCTCTGAAACCCTGTGCAGGGTCACTATGAGTCAGAACCGACTCCACGGTACTTAACAACAACAACCCATCAGACAAGTTAACATATATACCTTCTAGCCAGTGAGTTACTATCCCTACCCCTCCATACCTGGCAACCATCAAAGAATGTTTCTTTTAGCATGAAAACCTTTTCTTGAGCTTTTACAATAGTGGTCTCACACAACATTCGTCCTTTTATTGGTTAATTTCAGTGAGCATAATGTCTTCCAGATTCAACTATGTGATGAGGTGCTTTGCAGATTCATTGCTATTCCTCAACACATTGTAGTATTGCATTGTGCGTATGCACCAATGTTTGTTTACCCATTTTTCCATTGATGGGCATTATGGTCTTCTCTGTCTTTTTGCTATTGTGAATAGTGCTGCAACATATACAGATGTGCATATATCTACTCATGTCATTGCTCTTATTTTTTGGGGATTTATATATATATGAAGGGATTGCTGAGTCATTTGGTATTTCCAAATTTTTGAGGAAGCACCATATGGTTTTCCATAGTGGTTGCACCATTTTACAGTCCCACCAGCAATGTGGGAGGGATCCAGTCTCTCTTTACCAGACCAGCATTTGTTGTTTTCCTTTTTCTTTTTTTTTTTTTTTAACTCTGCTATTAATATTAATAAGGAGCTCTGGTAGCGTAGTGGTTATGAATCGGGCTGCGAACCTTAAGGTCAGCGGTTCGAAACTACCAGCCGCTCCGCGGGAGAAAGATGAGGCTTTCTACTCCCGTAAGGATTTACACCCTCGGAAACCCTGTACAGGGTCGTTATGGGTCGGAACCGACTCGACGGCACTTAACAACAACAACATTAATATTAATGCTGGGGGTGAGATATCTTATTGTTGTTTTGACATGCATCTCTCCAATGGCTAATGATCACAAAGATTCCTTCGTATGTTTGTTGAATGCTTGAGTGTGTTTTTTTTTTTTTTTTGATGAAGTGCATGTTCATGTCCTCTGCCTATTTTTAATTGGGTTATTTGTCTTTTTCTTGTAGGGATGTAGTAGTTTTCTATAAATTTTAGAAATTAGTCCCTTCTCTGATATGTTATTGCAAAAATCTTTTTCCTAGTCTATAAACTTTTTTTATCTTTTGGTGAAATCTTTTGATTCACATAACTGTCTACTTTTTAGGAGGTCCTGATCACCTATTTTGTCTTCTTCTGTGTGTTTAGTCATGTTTGATAGTGCATTTCTACTATGTATCAGACTCCCTAAATTTGTTCCTAATTTTTAATTTGATGATCTTTATAGTTCTAGATTTTACAACTAGGTCTTTAATCCATGTTCAATTTGTTTTTTGTATATGTTGTGAGATATGGGTCTTATTTCATTTTTATGCATATGGATTTCCAGCTTTTCCAGCACCATTTGTTGAAGAGATTATCTCTTCCCTGTTTAATGTGTTTTAGCCCTTTGTCAAAGATCAGCTAACTATATCTGGATGGATTTACTTCTGGGTTCTCAATTATGTTCCACTGATCTATGTATCTCTCACTGCACTACTACCAGGCTGCTTTGACCACTGCGGCTTTGTAGTATATATTAAGATCAGGAAGTGTGATACCTATTACTTTGTTTTCCTTCATTAAATAATGCCTTCCTTTCCATGTAAAGTTGTTGTTGTTAGGTGCCACCGAGTTGGTTCTGACTCACAGTGACCCAATGAACAACCGAAAGAACACTGCAGTAACCTCACAATCACTGCTACACTTGAGCTCATTGCTGCTGCCACTGTACCAATCCATCTCCTTGAGGTGGAGGGAGGGGTCTTTTCTTTTTTGTTAACCCTCCACTTTATCAAACATGTTATCCTTCACCAGGGACTTGTACCTCCTGATACTATGTCTGAAGTATGAGAGATGAAGT